TATATATATATATATATATATATATATATATATATATATATAGTAATTATACGATTCGTCTGCTGATTCGCATATCGTACACCTAGTTGGTTTGCATTTCATACTTTTAGTATTGAATGTAAGTTTTGCAAATATAGATTTTAGTTATGTTAGTTAATATTTGAGACAGCGTTAGATTTTTATGATTTTACAAGAATATTTTCATTCGTTGTATTTTTTCTGTGTTTCGATTTTAAATTACTGAGTTGCAAGTTGTAGCAGTGATGGATTTAACGTTTTATCATGCAAACATTTTGACTTTTATTTAAAATGACTTAACATTATTTCATTCAGCATAACTTTGGCATACGTTCAAAACGTAACTAGGAGATTGATCATTCACTTCCAACTAATTTGTATGTAGTGTGGTTTGTAAATTAATGGCAATATCATCAGGGTTACAAAAAGAGAATACGGGTTATGATAGCTAGTGATAGAAGTTATCATACAAATTACTCAAATGTGTTTTCTAAAATGAATTGCTGAAGTTTCCACGCTAGACATAAATCACGTATAAACGAATATACATACAGGAGTTCTTTTTCAAATTAACATCGTTCTTGACATCATTGACATTTTAAAATTAACATCGATTTTGGATATTGATATACATCAAAGAAAAACACTTCGTCACGTAGGTGGGGACAGAAATGGACTTCAGACTTTGAGGGTAAATGTGTCGGCATACGATCAAAATATATCAGCTCTTTGAGACGCCATAGGTCCTTATAACGAAACGTTTAAGGGGGGAGGAAGGAGGATGTCGAAGGAAGAGAAGAAGAGGGCTTTCATTGCCAGAAATATAAAACTGTGTCGAGTAATATTTGTTGTATTACTTATGCAAAAGCACCAAACTAATGTTGCACGTTTTGTCATTTGCTTCCAGCTTTCTGATACATTATATTCGATCTCTAAACTAATAAATAATGAGATGGTTTGGTTCACACTAACGTGACATGTTTATTGATTATAGTTCACTCATAAAAAATATTTTTTATTTATCTCGTAACATTAGAAATAGCGTTAAAAAGTTTGAATATTAACACAGGTTACACACAAACAATGGAATATTTAAAGCAATTCATGGAGTGCATTTACATTTCCTAGTAAACTAATTAGTATTTATTTTGTGTCAACACAATTTAGTCATGCAATTATGTGTGTCTATACCGTACGCCTTCAGTCCAGTACGTCATTACAAGTATTATTAATTAGCTGGAACACGTCGTCAGGTTCTGCAAACATTATGTCATAATCATTCCAATATGGCATGAAAAATGCAATATCTATGCTGCTAATGGGGAACTAACTCATCGTCACATTCATAATTAAGTACAACCACAATGACCAATGAAACGAAGGTTTCTCGCTTCCAGTACAGCAGTTAGTGGAAGGCAAATCATTAATTATCTCAAAATAGTTTTGCTTTTACAAAAATTACCCAAGAGTGTCACGTGGCATTTTTTGTAATCACTATTAATTACGAGATACACTGACATACCATTATTTTCTAGGAAATGTATGTGAACTCTTTTAATATATTTTTAGCACAGTGTTTCGAGGTATCCTTAAACAATGTTTTTGTAAATAATTATATATCTCTCAGTTTATCTACATAATTAAGGAATATAAAATGAAAAAGTTTATATATTATTCCCACAAAATTTGTGTTAATACTTCTTTTCACAAAGAATAAGTATCTCACAGAAACAGTCGGAAATAGGCTGATAAACTAAATTAATTCCTCACACACCAGATTATGATACAATATCAAACCGCATTACTGCATATATTTCTTGTAATCCTATTTAAGAATATCGTGTTTAAATAATTACGGCATTTGCCAGTGTATAAGACGCACCGGCGGGTAAGTCGAAACCTTATTTCAAGAAATTTTTCATTCTTTGACGTTAAATTTTATACTTGGATCTTTATTTTTATGAAAGGAATGGGAATTGTGACTCGTGAGAAGCAATGATCGTTTATTCATATTCCGTCGGGA